ACTACCTGTTATTTTAGTAAAACTGATGATGGTGGAAAACACCGAAACGTTTTTTAAATTGATAAATGAACAATAAATAAATGACTGAAGAACCCAGGATTTGAGTTTAATTTTGGAAATAAACAAGTAATATGTATATTTATATGTATTTTTGTGTAGTTGTGTCATTTATCCCTATTATCTGCTGCCCCTTGCGGCATAGATAAAGACGAGTGCGGCACAATTAAAAATAAGCAAGTGTAGTGGGTTCATAATGCAGGTTTGTTTGAATTCTTTAATTCTCAGCCGCCAGGGCGCGCCACTTTAGCGACACACTTTCTACAAGAGAAAAAGTCGTTACTATATAAGCCTTATTCTATGCTCCTTCCCGGGAGCATCACAGGGAGTCGCTCCTCGCTCACGATCCCTAGCGTAAAAAAATAGTATTCTTGAATGATAGGGAATGCCAGTGAACACGCAGTCCCTGCAAGCACTGTTGCCAGCTTATCTCACCAATCAAAATTGAGAAAATATTGACGGTCTGACATGATTGCCAACGTCATTTATTTCCTATTGTGGCGGAACTCGTACCAACCTGCTGTTTTAAAAGAGACAGACATCTAAGAATCATGTATTTGTCTTTATCTAAGCTAAGAAAGGGTCGTTTATTCCGTCGTTTTCTGCTGGTACGTATTTATTTCCAAACCGTTTATAGATACTTATTAAAAAACAGTTTTTGTTTTTTTAAGCGTGGTTCATTGCTTCTGTGCCCTATTGAGGTAAGGTAATGTACTAGTAAAATGAATACGGTTTTATGAAGAAAGTAAAAGGGTAATTTCATATATGTAGCCGCTTTCCTTCAGCACTTTATAATGAATCGTAAAATGAGTCTATGTTCCTTAAAGAGACTGAAGTAAATGTAGCTTTTAGGAAAAATGGAATAGCACAATAGCCATTGCAAATTGTGAAAAATCAAGGCTGCTATCGCTCAAGCAAAAGGAATCGCTGCTAGAATTTGTCCACAGCAGGTCCCAAATGACAAGGCTTATTCTCGTGTAGAATCCTTAACGAATGTATATTTAATGAACAATAAAACACCATCTCCACCAACAATGTACAAAGATTTTCGAGACTTCTAAACAACAATCTTCTTACAACTTTATGGTCTGTTAGATCAAAGGATATCTTGTCCCAGGGATGTTTTGGAACCCCAAATTATTCCATGGCATCATCGACATCCTCAGTTATCATGTCATTATAATATTATTGAATTTCTCAACTTGCATTTTAAAACTAAATTAAGCACAACTCGTTGAAATGATCGTTACACCCGTTCCTCAGATCCAAAACATAAACAAATACGATTTGAGGTTGGAAAACCCGGGGAGATGCCCTTTCTACTGCGTCGTACCGGGCCTGCTCACTCTCGTGCAATGACAGTTCTGCGTTAATATAGTTTACTCAGCCCACGGCGCGCTGTTATCGCGCCTCTCAGCTGTTCGAAGAAGTTATTTTCAGGCTTGCCAGGTCTACCGTTTTACGGTGGGTCTCCCGTTTTCATGAGAGCTACTGCTCTACCGCTATGCCATAAAAACCTACTGCTAAACGTTACGTTAAACACTTTAAATATAACTATTATGTATTACACTATTTGTCAACAAATCAGCTACATTGCACCGCGATTGGCGAT